ACATACTTAAGTTTAAAATTTCCATGTAGTTAGACTTGAACATTTTGTGTATTCTTAAACTAGCAGAATTAAAGGGGACAAAGACAAATACACATATATACCCCACTATCTATCTCACTGGCCATCCCAACCCTGTGACAACTGTTACCAACCTCTCAATGTTTCTAGTTTTAATAACAAACTTACTTCCCATGTGTTCAACCTGATTCCTCATCTGACGCTTTCAATAGTGGAAGAGGCAATCTGCCATGTTCCCTATGTATTTCTTCTAACTCTTGCTCAGTATGTAAAGAATGCAAGGCCTGCCTTTTTTTTTTCCCATCCATTTCCGCAGCATGTGTTTGCAATGAGTAATCTTGAGAGATGAATTAATATCCCCTGTGGGAGACCAACCTTGCACATGACTGAGTCACACTCCCTGGCTGGGTTCTGAGGTGCTCAGTCACAGAAATGTGACAGAGCTTTCCCCACCCTTCTTGGATTTGAGGGAGAGGGACGGTGTCTCCTGCATGGGTGTGTCTTGCTACAGCCCCACGGGTGGAGCTATGCTCACCTGTTCCTTTGTAATATAACCCCTTGCCCTGTTTAGGATAGAATCTTTCATGAAAGTGCCTTGTATGTGTCCCCTTCTCTTACTGTGCCTTTGGGTATGGCCCACCCAGATGCCAGTCAACCTGCTGACAGTGGACATCATGAAGATAAACTCAGCCCCCTGACCCCTTGTCTCATTTGAATAGCTTCTCCTCAATTAAAGATGTCAGTGTGTGCTCTCGCTCTCTCTCTTCCTGCGGACCCTTAAGGTCAGAGGAGTGACCCCAAAGAAAAAGGTACTTGTGTCTCTTGTGTGGTTATTTTGCGCAGCCCAGTTAACCCAGTTTACCTGGAGTGACCCCTGAGCCTTTTAGTCTCGAGAACAGAAACCTGGCAATCCCCTTCTCCAGCCTCACATTCCTCTATAGAAAGTAGGACTGATTCTAAAGCAGTAGATTCCTGTAGCTCTGTGTTCCTTAGGTGTGATATGCTGCAAACCCGGTCTTTGTTCAGTATTCATTTGGGTGCATCAGTTACCCTGTGGAACTTGGAGAGCATGGGATACTGAAGCAAACCAATATTTTGCTCATGCTGCTTTCTAGTCCTTTGTCTCAGACCCAGGAATCATTTCTTCTGCCAACATCCATGAAACAGTGACAGGCTAGCTTGCTCACTCAGCTGACTTCATTACTCTACATTCAGTAAAGTACTTAGCAGCAGATGTTTAGTTAAGGAAAGAGACCACAATTTGACTCCACCTAGGGTCACAGATTTTTTAGTCTCAACCTCTGACTTGCTTGACCAGGTGCTTCCAGCCCAGCTCCTACTTAGCCAATCAGTTAAGTATCAGCAGGTCATCTAACATACTGCCAAACATATTAGATTACCAGATGGAATCCCATGACTAAGATTTTTTCTCAAGACATGGCTTGACAAAAGCCTATTTGTTTCCATGACAAATTAGGGCAGATATTACGGAAGTTTTCTTCATCCCTGATCTATCTATCTAATTTGACTGTGGACTATCCTGTTTAAAGTTCTCTTATCCTTTAACGTCTCTGATAATAATAAGTCTTCAACTTTTCTTGGAGCTCTGTTTACAAATTTTATCTTTTCCCCATTTTCTCCAAATCCCCCAAATATATGCTTTGTTCCAAGGGCACAGATTTATTACTCATAGCCATTTAGCCAATAGGAAATGTATTCTACCGATTCTTAAATTGACTATTCTAGTTATGAATTTTAGCCCCTCATTTCCAACCACTTATACAAGCTCTTCACCTGATTATTACACTAGTACACTGAACTTGACATATCCGGATCAAATACATTCTCTTTCATTCCAAACTAGCTACTAGAAAATTTTAGATAAAGATGAGTAGGAAATAATTTTGAATTGATCAGTATTAAAATAGACATTCTTTTATGCAAAGAAAAATACAGGAAAACTCCAAGAAGCTACAAAATAAAGCAAAATAAGTACCTTAAACAGAAATTTAAATAGGTTTTGGGTTGTAACTCAGTGGTTGAGTGCTTGCCTTGCATGCGTGAGACACTGGGTTTGATCCTCAACACCATATGAATATATAAATAGAATAAAGATATTGTGTCCATCTACAACTAAAAAGCTGTTTTTAAAAAAAGAAATTTAAATAAAATTTTATTTTATTAGTCAAATTCCAGAGTAAATACTTGTTATACATGGAGTCCTACAACAAATATTTCTTGAGCTATACATGACAAGTATTTCTTGAGCATGCTAAGTACTGGAATTACAGATCCATTTTGTACTCTCTTTTCACATTCTACTAGGTGACAAATGCTGCAAGTTCAACAAACATAAGGTCTCTCTCATGTATTACTTTTTCTTCTCTTTTTCTCCTTTCTCTCTTCTCTTCCTCTTCTTCTTTCACTTTCTTCTTCGTTTTTTTTTTTTTTTCTGTTTTTTGCTTTGGTTTGTCTACAATATCTCATTCAGACAAGTTTCATAGTCTCCTAACTGGCTTTTCTGCTTTCTGCTGCACCCAAACAGTAAATACTAATTTCAGATTATGAGTCCTAAGGATCATCTCTGATTATATCACTCCCTTTCTCAAAGACTCTGAGAGTGCTCTGTTGTCCATAGCATACAGACCATATCAGGACCCAGTTTGCCTTTCCAATTTTAATTTCTAGTATTTTCATATGTACACTCTACTTTGGTCAAATAACAATGCCGATGATACTCAAACATACTCTTTGACTTTTTACCTCCACACCTTTGTGCATATTGTTCTTTCCCTCTTAGAATACCCATCCCCTGCTGCCCAGAAGAGCCACCTACAAAGCCTATTAAAATTCTGTTGGCTTTAACAGAATTTTAGTTTCATAAAAAGTATTTCCTCTGGAATTTGACTAATAATTTTTTTTTTAAAAAATTTCTCTTTAAGGCAGTTATTCTTCTTTATTTTGTAGCTTCTTGGAATCTTCTTTTATTTTTATCTAAGTAAAAGAATGCCTATTTTAATACTGATCAATCCAAAGTTATTTCCTACTCATTTTTATCCAATATTTTCCACAGGAAGAATTTGAATATGCACCTTGAATATGCTCACTGTCAAAATTATGAATGCTACATGATTTAACCCACATTATATGTAATAAACATAACACCCCTAATTTGGTTGTTTCTTTGGCATTCAAGTTCTTGATAAATGTTTACTGTGATTTACTACATGTACAGCACTGTTCTAAGCATTGTAGATAAGCAGTGAACAGAATAGGCAAAATTTCTGAATACATGGAGCTTTTATTCTAGCAAGGGATGTGCTGAGAGGTAAAATTAAACTGAAAAGTGTGATTTGAAGTGCTGGGGAGAGTAGTGGGACTTATTGCTATTTTACCTATGTCAGCAGGAAAGACATCATCAAGAACATAATATTTGAACAAAGATCAAAATGAAAAAAGGGAATGAGGCCTACAGGTACATGGGAAAGAATACTTCAACAAGTACAAAGGCCAAAGTTAAGAGTGTACTAGGTATATTCAGAGAATGGTGAGACCAAAATGGCTGGAATAGAATAAATGAATGTGATAATTATAGGGTATTCATTTAACATTTGAGCAGCCATCTTAAATGTTAACCACCATCTTATGAGATAAGTTTTGCTTTCCTGTACTTCCTCTTACTCAAACTCCTCCCACCCCCATTAGTGACTTACCCCATGGAACCACAACCCCAAGCCAATTCCAGAAGGACGCGATCCCTTTCCTCTGCAAAAGCCCCATGGTGACCATCAACCTAAGCCAATACCGTGCTATTCCCCACCTGCCTAGCTCTGACGCAAGCAACCCTGAGCCTATCCCATAGCACCACAACTACAACTCCAAACCCCAACCTCACAAAAGCTGAGCACCCAAACATCTTGGGGCCTCTCTCTTCTCTATAGAGAGATGGCCTTTATTTGTCAGCTTTCACAAATAAACTTTTGTGTGGATCTCTGCCTGGTCTCTGTCCTTCCTTTCTCGCTGGCCTGTATCTTGCTTTCTCATTTTCCTTTCAATAATGATAGAGAGACAGTTGTGGGTGAGAGAACAACTAGACTTTATAAAGTCCTATGGGCCATTGTAAGAATTGTCTGATATTGTGAAAATGATGAGAAGCCAAGGGAGGATTGTGAGCAGAAGAATGATTTCATCTGGCATATTTTTAAAGGCTTCATCAGGATTCTGTGTGGAGAAGAGATTGACAATAGGGAAAAGAAAAAGAGAGGAAGAGATGTTAGGACTTTTTTTTCTCTCAATAATACAGATTAGAGATGATGGTGTCCTTAACTATACTGACAATGATGTACATGATAAGAAATAGTCAGACTCTGGACATATTCTGAAGGGGGGACCAATGGAATTCACTGATGAAGTAGATGTGGGATATGAAGGAATAAAAAAAATTGCTATAAGGATTTTGGCTTAAGTTACTGGAAGAACGGAAATGCCATTTAGAGAAGTCGGGAAGCCTGTAGAAGGTTTATTGGAGGAGAAATCAATTTGAGCTAGGATAATTCTAGGGAGTTATCAGGAAAAGTAGAGGTACCAATTTAGGAGTAGCTAATAGATAAAAATATTTAAAGTCATGAGACATGATGAGATTATTTAGAGAATGAGTGCAGACAAATAAGATCCCAGGACTGATCAGGGACACTCCATTTTTTGATGCTAGGAGAAGATGAAACCCCAGAGACTCCCAGAAAGACTGAGAGAAAATTAAGAGAAAATTGACACTCTAAGAGTCAAGTAAATAGTTATCTTTTTGGTTTTAATACTGTCAGATCATAAAGTCAATTTAGTCAGATGACTCTGAAATTCCCTGAAGTATAAGGTAGCCTGAAAAAAAATGAATCTGTTCCTTTAAAAGGGACTAGTTAGTCAATTTTTCTGCAATTATATGGTTCATGATTCAGATAAAAACAAATTATTCTACTTAAACATACCTTGAAAGAACATATTTGGTTACCAGAAAGGTTAAGCTTCTCCAGTTGTTCATTGATGTCAAGACACCGACCTTTGATTTAACAAGACAAAAGAAAAATCAAATTTCTTGTTTTATCTCCTTTTCATATCTTATCATACCTCTGAGTTATATACAGCCATCATTTCCTACATATCAGCAAGATTAATTGTACCATTAACAGCTAATATTTTCACATCCTATAAACATGAGATAAGAAATACTTTGTAAAGATATTATTCAAAAAATATAAAAGAAAGAAATCTATCCATATACATGTTTATATTGATAAATAACTGTTGTAGTTTTCTCTCAAATTCCAAATGAAACAATACATACCAATGATGCTTATTAGATTTCCTGCAAGGTTGAGGTCATTTAAATTCTTCAAAGTCTGTAAGCCCTGAAAATTTAGACAATATGTTATTTAGAAAAAAATCATTAAAATCTTCATTTCCAAGTCATCCCTGATTAATCTGATAAGTTCTCTGGATGTTTTGTTTGTTGGGTGCTGTGTACTTCACAAGCACAGAGGGAAGTGGGTATCTCAATGAATCCATCTTTGTTTCTCCATATTGGAACCTGGAGAGAACTATTGTAAGAGGGAACAAGAAGGGAAGTGGAGACCAAAGAGGAGGAGTTGAGTGGAAAAAGAACACATTACACACATGTTCATAATCTAAGACAAGTCATATAACTCCTCTAAATATCTTTTTAAAAAATCTTCAAATAACAACATTATCTTTCCTCTCAGGTTTGTTGAGAGAAGTAATGATGATGATGAATATGAAGCCCTCCATGCATTATAAAATGCTGTGTTCATCTTAGTTATTTTAATCATAATAATTAAACTAGTGATAATTATTTTGATCCCTAATCATAATCAGATCTTAGACACTGTGGTTTAAACTCTACAGAGGTAACTGGTTTTATATATGAATCATTGAAATTATCTTACCTCAATATTTTTAATCATGTTGTGGTTCAGCCAGAGGACTTGCAATTTAATTAATTTGTCTAAATTTTCTATTTTAGAAATTTTATTATAATATAAATATAATTTTTCCAAATTTCTACATTCTTGAAGACCTCCAATTTTCTGTTTAAAAGGAAATTGAATTGTATTACATTATGCTTTGCCATTAACCCTTCCAATAAAGAAAGTTTCTAAGTAAATTTTTATTAAATATAACATTTTATTGTGAAATTAATGTTCAAAAAATTAAATTTTTAAAAGAGAAAGTATATAATTACTCCATCAACATACAATTTTATTTAGTCTTGTATACTTTATTTAAATTTTTAATCAATTCTATTTTATAACTATAATCATAGATATATTATGTAATTTGGTGAAGACTTTTTTACTGAAGACCATCTAAAATGTTTTATAATCTTTCAAATTATAATACATAATAATTTTAGAATATTTCTTGACGTTTATAGTAATTTTTTTAAAAATTACTCTATGAGTAAAATGTTTACATTCCAAATTCTTAGCTACTATTTATAATACTGCAACAAATAGCTTCATACATACATTTGTTTTCTGCTGTTGAATTACTTCTCTAGGATAAAATTTTAAAAACAGGACTTCTGAGGTAAAAATATGTGTACATTTCTGTGGCTTTTGGTATTTTAAAATACTGAATTTCAAAATTGATGTCTAATCAACAGTGTGTAAGTAAACCAATTTTACTGTTAAGCAGTGCTGGCTCTGATTTGATTAGCTTTGATAACTAAAAAGTAAAATATGTTTATGCTTTGATTACTTATTTCTAATTTTTCTTTTTTGAATATCAATTTCTATCTTTTGCCACTTATCTGTTTTGCTCTGCTTCATCATAATTTCAATGAATTATTGTTCTAAAGTCAAGATTTCAGTATAAAATATTCCATTCTAAGATTATATATTTAAGCTTACCTCGATACAACATTCAGCAATCCAAAGTTCTTTAAGCAGGACACAAGTCCCTAACCCTGAAATTTCTTTTATATCTTGAGCAACAATTGTAAGACTTGTTAAATTAGGAAATAATGATAATCCAACTATACGGGGATACCCTGAGAAAAACATCTCCAGTTTTGAAGCATTTGATCCTTCTTTTCCAACTATCTCATAAGATAAACCATTGCACAAACACTGTTTAAAAAACAAAAAGAAATTTAATTATTACAAAAATAAATTTAATTATTACTATTTTAAATAATGAAAATGATTTTTGTCATTTGAAATTACAAATTGTCAATAGTACTGGTGCCATTTTTATATCTCTCACAAGAAAGTAAGTTGTACCACATATGTGATTTTTCTGTGTTTCCAAAAGGCATATTGCAGAAGAAATCACTAGATATTCCTTTCAGCTCCAGAAAAGTGCATAAAAAATGTTCCCTCTCATATTTTTGCAAATGTTCAAAAGAAATTTAGATTTGACTCACCAGTTCTTTAATTATTTCTTCTTGATGTAGATTTTCACTTTCAATCATCTTCCATTAAAAATAATGGTCATAATAATGTATCTATTAAGGAAATCAAATGAATACTCGGGTCATGTCATTATAAACTGAAAAGGACCTTAAAATTAACTTAAGTTGAACCACCCAACCTGACTTGAAATCTTCATATAGTATATTACCAGACAGCTGGGCCCCAAGACAGTCTATTTTATCTCTGAAGTTTTCTGTTAGAAAGCTATTTTTTATTCTGAATTTAATTCTGTCTCTCCATAACTCCTCTCTTTTTGTTGCCATCCTATCCTTCGTTCAAATAAAATAATTATAATTTTTCTACTGTATAATGAGCCTTTAATACTTGAAGAAAAGAGTCATTTTTCATCTACACCCTTATCTTGCTCTGAGTTCAATTCTTTTAGTTCTTTTGATAGTCATTCTTTGTCTCTTTTGAATAGCCTCCAGCTTATCCTTCTTATTAAACTGTGGTGCTCCAAACTGAGCACAGTTCTTTGTACTTAGAGAGCTTACCTGGCATATTATTAAAATGAATTCAACAACTTCATTGTAGATAATGTGAAGAAATTAATACCTAAATTATTTTGATAAAATTTAACCCCATTTTCATAGTTTTTTAACATTTTCATTATATAATTCTGGACATTCATTATCTAAAAAGTATAAAATCCTATTTCTAATATTATGATATGACAAACAAAACATAGAGAACTATTTATATTATAATCCCACTTGTTACAATAGTAACTCCCCCATAGATATGTGTGTTTGTGTGTGAGATTCTGTGTCTGTGTGATTAGGTAGGAAGAAAATGTAGAAATATGTATCCTAAGTTGTTAACATAAGTTATCTTGGATGCAGGTAAAAGCTGATGTGGTTAGAATAGGAATGAAAAGTTAGGATTGATTTAGGCAAAGAGGGAAAAGAAAAAAAAATGACAGTTTAAAAAGACTGTTTAGTATTATAAATTATTGATGTATAAACATGGTTTTATTCATTCTACTATTGGTACATATTTGGACTGTTTCCAGTTGGTGGCTAAATAGTGCTTCTCTGAATATTTTGTTAGGTGGGATATAACCACACATTTCTTTGGGGTTTTAACCTAGAGAATGAAATGGCAAAGAAATAATTATTGTTATATATAATGAAGATGATTCTCAGAGAACAATGTTAACCAAAGAACACATACACATGTAATGAGTACATACTATATGAGTCAATTCATAAAAAATATGAAAACAAACTATAGTATTAGAAGACAGGAAAATGATTATATTTCAGGGGTGAGTGACTAAGAGGAGGCAAAAAAAGGGCTTCTAAAATGCTGCTGATGATATTTTTTTTTATTTGGTTGCTGGGTAAGGCGATATGCTCACTCTGAGAAAAAATTAAATGTCTATACTTTAAAAAATTTACACTTAAATATTTATTTATAAGCACAACTTATATGTAAATTTTAAAAAAAGATGGTGACTTGAGTCCTGTATTTACCTAACTTCCCTCTTCAAATCCCACTGGAATGGTTGAAGAAATGAAAATAAGAAAAAAAATAAAAAGAACAGCCATGCTAGGAAAAGAGCATAAATTGCCAGAATACTGATAAAGGTCTTTTAAGAATGACGTGGATGACATCAGATTGAGAAAAATGCCATTAATGCAAACCAGAACAAAATTCAAAGTACCAGGAGGAAAAGTTCTAAAAATGTCTTCAACTCAGAGTAGCAGTGGTCAGTGAAAGGGTAGCTGTGGGTCATACATAAGGGTAGCTATGGGTTATGCTGCTTTATTATAGCAGCACAAAACAGATAAAGACACTGAGTAAATAGGAGGGGAGAGAGACCCCAGCTAGCAAAAAAAAAAAAAAATACATTAAAAATCATCAAAATATACTGGACACTGTCACTAATATTGAGGATCTAATGAGTACACTGATGGGGTGGAGGAAAGAGAACACTTCTTTGATGAAGAGGAATCAGGGAAAAGAACTGATATAAATCAGGGAGTGTGAGCCATGAGAGAATCTGGGGAAAGTGCATCCAGGATGAGGAACGAGCAAATGCTAAATAAAGGAGTGAACTTGGCATGTCTGCAAAATAGCAAGAAAAGTCACGTGGTTGTAGCATAATGAGAAAAATGGATGTGAGATCAGAGAGATACCATGGAGCCAGATCACATGCTATCTTGTGGGTCCTTGTGAACACTGAATTTTCTTATGAATAAAACGGAAAGCTGAATGAGGACTTTGAGGAGAAAAATAACATGAATTGTATTTAGTACTAAAAAGGATCCCTCTAGCTCCTTTGTTGAATAAAGACTACGGAGGTAAAAGCAAGGAGACTAGCCAAGAAGCAGTTGAAATAACCTAAGTAAGAGAGAACGTTGGTTGGAGTTGAGAAGTAGTAAAGGAGATAAGAGTGGTTAGAAGACAATCTACATGGAAGGAAATGCTTCTCATTCCTCCCCTGGCAACTGCATCTTTACCTCAATCTTAAACAACCCCAAGATGTTGCAGCACTGAGTGCAGGAGTGGCGAAGCAAAGGAGCACTTTGTAAGGAATAACCTGAAAGATACTCTCACAAAGGCCCAAGTACAGATGCAGGCCACAATTTTCCCTACCTAAGCTTCCTTGGATGGTACACCAAGTAAGGGAAGCTTTTATAACCCCTTTACTCATCGGAATACAAGCCCCTGTTTTGAACCCCTTTGTGTGAGCAGTAAAGGAAAGCCTAGCTGCCCACTACCATGCCAGCCTGACCTCATAGTCTCCCAAGTCACCCAACAGGGATCCAAGTAATGTCGTCTATGTCCAAGGTATCTATTCCAGAAGGAGTTAAAGTGTTTCCTTCAGTATACACTAATGATCACAGATGCTTGTCCTAATTTTGTACTTTCTAATCTGTGTTCTTCCTTAACACTCTCTACTTTTGTTCTATATCAATATGTTTTAATTACTTGGATTTATATTATAAATCCTCACCTTGGATTCTTTTTAAAGAAGTTTCCCAGCTGCTCTTTCATATTTACTTTTCTAAATGAGTTTTATGATTTTATTTTGTAACTAATTTTTAAAATTCAGCTGGGTTTTAACTGAAATTGCATTATAAAGGTTAATAGAGAGAGAAGGTCCATGTTTACAGTATTGAGTCTTCTTCTACAACAAGGTATGGATCTCTGTCTATTCAAGGACACAACTTTTTCTTGGTAGATAAATATGCTCATTGCCTCTCATTTCATCTTACTTTCTCTTCATTGAGTTTTAGAAAAAAAAAAGTCTTGCTGTAATTCAATAGTTAATTGGCAAAAAATTAATTTAAACCCTAAATGCTATATTTTACAAAACTATGTATAAATTGGAACCTAGACCTTGTTGGTACTTATAAGCCTCATGTGCTTTCTTCAGTCATGAATGTACTCAGTGTTTCCAGATGAAGATGAAGTTTCTGATTCCATCCGGAGGTAAATGTCCTATCGGCCAGCTTGGCTACTCTCCTGCAATTTGGGAAGGCTCTTTTGGGGTCCTGCCCATTTAAGAGGTTAAAGGTCATCTTTAGTTTCCCAGGGAACCAGAAGTCACCAAGGTTTCTAGGGCTTTTCCCCTTCAAAACGCAAATCTTGGATTGATCTAATCACAACTCTTTTCCAGTTTAGATTAAACCAGTATGGAGTTGAACTCACTGCAACTATATGGCTTCTACAACTGAATCTTCAGCAACAGTTATTTGTATTTTCCTTATCAATTTCCTCTATGGGAGTAGGACTAAAGATAAAGATCTAGGATTTATTATACATTAATTATTCTACATCTCTTCTCAGGGTCTCTTTCAAAAGATGATCTTGTCTGCACCTTCACAGAGAATAGTGATATATATCATTGGATGTTCATTCCTTCAATTCTCTTTCCTCCTAAATAAGTACTTTCCCCCCTTATAACTCCTGTCTTAGAGGTATTCTTCATTATCTCCTAATTGAATCTCTTTTTTCCTATGTATTGATCCTATCTTTTCTTTCAGAATATTGCATTATCAAATTTTCATTTTTCTTATTTATTCCTACTTTCCTTCTCTAAGATCTTCTCTGTGTATAGACATTAGGTTTCCTATCTTTAAAAAAAATTCCCTTCTATCCTGTATTCCTTTATGAATAGCTGTTTTAAATATTTTCACAGAAAGGTTTCTAGGTAATCATGAGCAACGCTTCGCTACCTCCATTCAATAGTCAACTAATTACAAACTAACTGAAGATACCTCATTGCACTGCAGCAGCAGTTGTGCAGAAGATGCTGCAGTTTCTTCTTCTTCTGAAGCTGCTGCTGTTATCCTCTACTTCCTCCTCCTCCTCCTCCTCTTCCTTTTTATTCTTCTTCCAATTCTTCTTCTGTTTCTTTATTTTAACAATTTCAACAATAATTTTCTAATTGCCAAAGACACTGGACATATTTCAACTCTCAACTTAGCCTTGACATAACATTTGGCAATGCTGATGACTGTTGTTTGTTCCTTTGGTTTGATTTTATTCTCCTTGGTTTCTCTCCACTTATTTCAAACCTACTTTTCAAATCGATTGTTTTGTTCTAAGTGAAAAATTACTAATATTTATTGTCTTTTTTCCTGGGACACAAATTTGACTGCCTACATGGAAAACTCCATCTATATGTGTTATAAGCAGTAACCAGTTTGTCCAATACTGGCTAATTATATTTTCCAATTCCTATGTTTCTCCTAATGTATGCCTTCTCTGGATAAACGATACCCCTCTTATCATCTAAGTCAGAAACCTGGAACTTATCCTCAACTTTTTCTTCAGGTTTAGTCACTCTTTAAATTCTTATGTAAATACCTCATGAATGTATATACATTCTTCTGTGCCATTTTAATTGCTTCTGATTTAGTTTAGGCTCTCTTCACTTCACCTAACTGGATGCCCTTCCTGTTGGCTCACTGCCCTTCAGTCCATACTCTATACCATTAAAAGGTAAATCTGCTATTCACAGTCACCATGAGCTGACTCCTGCCTAACTCTCAAGCTCCTCATTAACCACAACCTCCA